AAAAAAAAAAAAAAAAAAAAAAAAAAAGTAAGCGCCCCCCCCCATCACCCGCCGGGGGGGGGGGGGGGGGGGGTTTGCTTTGGCAAGCCACGAATATCGTATTTTTTGGACTGGAAGACACACTCCCCCCCGCCCCCCCCAAAAGTGGGTGGAAATGTCTGTGCGTTTTATAGAGTAAATGTTGCTGAAGACCTGCCCACCTGCCAGCCCCTTCGGCCTCCCAGCAGTTTGCCTCCTTGCGCCAAACAGCCAACAGCCTGGTCAGCCGTCGCCCACTGCTACTGTGTGCCCCTTTCTCGGCCTCCGCACATCCCGTTTTTGGCCTGTTCCAGGTAGTGGGCATAGGCGGCCAAAAATGGCACGCGTGGAGGAGGAAAGCGGGGCGCACAGAGGCGGCAGCGGCACTGGGCGACGGCGATCCCCACAGCCTGGAATTGCTAATAGGCAATAGTATTCCGGGAGGCAGATCCAACCGCCAATCAGCTGCTCAAGCTAAACCAGGCTGTGCTGAAGCTGACCAGGCTGTTTGCTGTTTGGCGCAAGGAGGCAAACTGCTGGGAGGCCGAAGGGGCTGGCAGGTGGGCAGGTCTTCAGCAACATTTACTCTATAAAACGCACAGACATTTCCACCCACTTTTGGGGGGGGCGGGGGGGAGTGTGTCTTCCAGTCCAAAAAATACGATATTCGTGGCTTGCCAAAGCAGGCTGGCTGGCTCTCCTTCCCCCCCCCCCCCCCCGGACGGAGATGTTCGCGGATGCTGCCTTCATTTTATCTATTTTATTCATTTGTAAGATCTCTTGGCCGCCCATCTGAGCTGAGGATAACTCTGTGTTCCTCCATTTCTCAGGCCAGAAGCCGGAGGATGAAGCCCCAGCGGTTTCCGTGGTGTTGCCCCTTGACCAGGCCGCCATCATCCAGGAGATGGTGAATCAGGACGTGCTCCCCAGCCTGCTCATCTCCAGTGCAGCCTCCGAGCTGCCCACCATGCATGAGGACCAGCCGGAAGCCCTCCTGTGTGGATCAAAGGTTTTGGAAGAGGGTCCGGAGCGGCGGGAGGAGCGGGACGAGGAAGAAGAGCAGGAGCCCCTGGAGGAAGCGGGAGAGGAAGAAGACGAGGAAGAGCCGCAGGAGGAGGAAGAGGAGGACGAGGAGAGCTTGTCGAAAGACCATCCAGACGTGGAATCGGGATCGGGATGTGGGGACCGGCTGGTGGAATCTGTGGAGGAGCAGAGCAGCCTCTCCGAAGACTCCCCCGAAAGCTCCCCCAAGAAGAAGCCCTCAGGGAAGTGTCCCAAGGCCAGAGGGGAGCCCAGCACCCAGGGGGGGGCGCCCATGTTCCCCTGCCAACACTGCGAAAGGAAGTTCACCACCAAGCAGGGCCTGGAGCGCCACGTACATATCCACATTTCAGCCATCAGCCACGCCTTCAAGTGCCGCTACTGTGGCAAGGCCTTCGGCACGCAGATCAACCGTCGGCGTCACGAACGGCGCCATGAGGCCGGGCCCAAACGGAAGCTGCTCTCGCCCTTGGCCTCTGCCCAGCTGCCCGGGGCAACCAGCACCCCGGTTGCCGAAGGGGGTGTCCCGAATGAAGCCAAGGCCAGGCAGGAGGGCCCTGCCCCGGAGGCCGAGGGAGCCGCTTCCAAAACACCGCCTTTGGAGGAGAGCAAGGAGCCCAAGGAATCGCACCCGTGCCAGTACTGCAGGAAGGTTTTCGGCACCCACACCAACATGCGTAGGCACCAGCGGAGGGTGCACGAGCGGCACCTCATCCCCAAAGGGGTCAGGAGAAAACCGGAGGAGCCCCAGGCTTCCGTGGGCCCGGCCCAGCACGCCCCCAGCACATACCTGGCCAGCACAGACCTGGAGGAGGAGGAGGAGGAGGAGGAGGGAGAGGCTGACGACGTCATGGACGTCTCCAGCAACATCTCGGAGAATCTCAACTACTACATCGACGGCAAGATCCCGTCCAACAGCAGCACCAGCAACTGCGAGGTGATTGAGATGGAGCCTGGCGCCACTGAGGTCTTCGGCATCAACTGCCTGCTGAATCCCGTGACGGTGGAGATCTCCCCCAACGTCAAGGCGGTGCCGGTGCATCTGGTGGAGGAGTCGAAGGAGTCCCCTGTGGGCGGGACCCCCGAGGCCAAAAAGAGGAGAACAGCGAGCCCCCCGCTGCTGGCCAAGGTGAAGACGGAAACGGAGCCGGAGCCCATCACCTCGCTGTGTTCTTTGACGATTCCCCTCACCCTCTCGACCGTGGAGAGCCTGCCCTTCCCCAGGGAGAAAAGCGTCTATTTATCCTCCAAGCTGAAGCAGCTTCTTCAGACGCAGGACAACAGTAAGGGGGCCCCCTCTCCCCCGTTGCCGGTGGGGGAGATCCCAAAGCTGGGGCTCCCCGCGGCCTCCTCCCCTCTCCTCCCGGCCAGCTCCAGCAGGTTCAAGCGCCGTACCAGCTCCCCGCAGCACAGTCCGGGCCTTCGGGAGCCTGGGAAAGCCGGTGAGGGCAAGGCCCCTTGGACCGAGGTGGCCCTGAGTGCGAAGCCTCCCAAGCTGGAGAGACGGAGCAACTCCCCCGCGTGGAGCCTGTCCGGGAGGGAGGAGAGGGAGGCGCCGAATCCAGAGGAATACAAGGCCTCCAGGGAGTGGGCGCCAAGCCCCCCCTTTGGGAACGTCTGCAACCAGCAGCCCCTGGACCTCTCCAGCAGCGTGAAGCAGCGGTTGAGCGGGAAGAACCGGGCCCAGGCGCCCTGGGAGTCCGTGCTCGATCTCAGCGTGCACAAGAAGCCGTGCGGCGATGGAGAGGGCAAGGAGGCGGCTCCGCCAGCAGGGGGCGCCGTCAAGAAGAAGCCCACCACCTCCATGTTGCAGAAGGTCCTGCTCAACGAATACAACGGGACGGGCCTGGGGCCTGAAAACCCCCCCTCCCCAGGCACGAGCCCTAGGCCGAATGCCTGCAAAGTAGTCGAAGCCCCAGAGCCTCAGCAGGGCCCGGCTCCCTCAGCCCCAGGAGCAGAGTTGGGCTGCTGTGGCCCCACCACCACTGAGGTGTCTTTGCCGCCCCCCTCGACTTCCCCGGCCCCATCGGCCTCTCCCTCCCATCCTCCCTGTCCTCCCATGCTCCAGGCCCCCACGCCTCCCCCTCCTCTCCTTCCCACTATCCCTTCGCCCCTCCCGGAAGACCCCGGCAGCAGTAACCCCCCGAGCTCCTGCCCCTCTCCCCTGTCCAATGCCACGGCTCACTCCCCATTGCCCATACTTTCCCCCACTGTCTCGGCCTCCCCTCTTCATTCTGTAGAGCCTCTCGGCTGCGCTTCACCCGGGCCCCCCACTCTCTCTTCCTCCTCCCCCTCCCCCNGACACTGGTGGGCGAAACGTTTCCCTGTCCAGATTCCCTTGGGCTGGATGAGAGACTTTGGGGTTTGGTGGTGGATGACCAGCTCCCCGCAGAGGACGGTGCAGCCCCCAGGAGAGGCCGTCCATCTGGGGGGGGAGATGACAGCAGAGTGGGCAAGAGCCCCTTCCTTTCCCCTCCTTGTAAAGCAGAACTGAATCTCTTCCCCCCCCCTTTATTATTATTATTATTTCTGGAGAGGCGGTTCCCCCCCCCTCCTTGCCTGCGTTTCTTTCCCTTTGGGTGAAGAGCAGTTGCTTCCTTTGAGTTTGCTCCCCCCCACCCCCACCCCCCACTTCTGAAAGTTCTTTGTCCTTGACGTAAAAATGGAAAGCGATCTACCTCTTAAAATCTGAAGTTCTGATACTGGTTTGGCGACTTCCTGCCACTTGAACCACCTCTCGCTATCATTCCCTTCTGTCTTTCGGTTGCGTCTCTTCTTCCGGTCCACGGGGGACACCCACCACCCCCAACAGTTGTACAAAGCATTCGTAGCAAGTTTGGAAAGCGGGGCGGGGGGGGAATAAAATATTTAAAATTATTTAAATTGCTTTTGACACTTCGGTTGTATTATATATGTGATTTACATTCATTTGTTTATGTGGGGGAGAAGAGAGAGAGAGGGGGGGGGGGCCTTTGGTCCCAGGATGGCTCTCCTGTAGTTCTTCGTTTCGCCCTCCCCTCCCCTCCTTCTCCTTGGAGAGGGACGCAAAGGCTATTCTATGAAAAACATTAAAATTTCCAATTTGCCATACAAAACCCACTTTGTCGTTGCTTCCGAATGTCCCCTTGGCACCGTGCGACTGTCCGGCCAGCCCTGCGGAAAGGGGGCCGGGGCTGGCCCTTGCCCACTTAAAAGGAGGGGGGTCCATGCAGCCCCTCACATTCAGCAGGGAAACAGACCCCCCCCATCGCCCTCTGCGCCCTCCGTCCAGGGCTGCTGCTGCTGCTGGTGGGGGCATCTGGGGGCGCCAGCAAAACACTACCAGGAGTGTGTGTGTGTGTGTGTGTGTGTGTGGTGCTGGAGGTTTCTTTGGCGGGAAGGATGAGCTGGCCCCCCATTGCAGACAGACAGCTGAGGCTCTTCCCCCCCACCCACCCCAGTGAAAGATGGCGGAAACTGAGTCGGGGGGGGGGGAGTCGGAGAGGGCCAGTTTGGCCTGGGAGGCAGCAGAGCTGACCTGGGGAGCCTCACGGGGGCCTTGGCCTTGCGCTGATCCCAAAGGGAACGTGGGGGCTTGGAAAGAGGCGCAGGGGGATTCAGTCTGCTAGAGGATCTGGAAATCCACAGAAAAGCCTCTGGGTGCCTGTATGGGGCGGGGGGGGGGGACACGGTGGTTTCCCAGTCCCTTGGCCTTCCCAGCCCTCCCTCCCCTCCCAGGAGGCAGTCAGAGGCAAGGAAAGGGGGGACCCCGGGGAGGGCTAGAATCACTGGCTCCCTGCAGGGACTGAAGTGCTCCGTCCTCTCAGAGGAGTCTTTGGGGGGGGGGCAGATTCCAGGGGAGGCTCCTGAAGGCTGCTGGCTCTGGTGAGTTGTGCGGAGGGGGGGGGGGTCAACTCCCTTGTCTTTGGCATCCCAGATGCTGAGCTCCAAGCTGGACTCCTCTCCACAAACCAGCTAACTATCCCTACACCGTCCCTGCTCTCTCCCGGCTCCAGCTTAAGAGGTGTGGGGGGGGCTGGTTACGGAAGGCCAATACAGGCAGGAGGGACCGGCCTCTGCCTTGGGATTGACAGGGCATGATGGGGATCTATGGGGCCGGGGGCCTCCCCCTCCCCTCCCCTGTTTCGCATGAGCGGCCTGGGAGGAGAGACTGCAGGAGGGCGACGTCAGCAGTGACGCTCCTTGGCTCCTCCCCGTCCCCGCTCTCAGCCCAGGGAGGGAGGGCAGGCGGCTGGAGGAGATGCTGGTGCCGGGCGAGGGGCTCAGCTGCAGGACCGAGAGGACCAGAGAGATGCATTAGGTAAGCAGGGGCCTGGGGGGGGGGGAGGAAGAGCCCCCCCCTCCTTGTATCGGACTCCATCCCAAAGTGCCACCCACCACCATCATCCTGAGCATTGTACGGTTTCAGCGAGGAGTCCTAAGACCGGTTCCTGGGAGCCCAACCAAGGGGGATGCTGGCCGGATTCTTAACAAGGCACGGATGTTGCTGTCTGGACCCGTGGGGGGGGGGGGGTTGCTCTGGCTCCGGGAGGTTTGCCAAAGCCTAGGAGGAGGGACGTGTCCTGCCAGGCTCCCTCACCAAAAGGAGAGTTGATCTCTCAACTCTGGGGGAATCGCCTGATTTCCCCAGGCAGGAAAAGAAAGCATTCGGTCGTCCAGGAGCTCCTGAAATTGAGCCCGGGGACTGGAGAGGCTTGAAGGTTTATTGGGGAGGGGGGAGGGAGTTTGGTCACAGAAGGTTGATTTCCTGCCCGTTTGCTTCACCAGAGGAGGCAGGAGACCTGCGGAAGCTGCTATGGAGGCCTCATCTGTGGACACCACCAGTCCGGTCACCTTCTCGCAGGTGTTTGGCCATCAGTGTCAACTTCTGGAGGCAGGTAAGAGGGGGGGGGGGGAATGGAGGGGGGACAGGCCTCTGCTGCAAGCCCCTGGAGGGGGAATCGGCTGTCCATGGGCCCCAGGTTTGGCAGCCGGGGACGCGGAGGGAGGGAACGCTGGGGGATGAGAGGCAGAGGTGGGCCAATCCAAACATTCTCCCCAAGTGCACCGGCAGGAGAAGAGCCCCATCCACAGATGCTCCTGTGCGCCTGCCTCCTTGTGCAGCCTTTCCCACGGAGGCTCCTTCAAAGTCGGG